CTAGACCCTGCGGAAGCTTCCAGGCAAGAGCCTGGAAGTTTCCCTGTAGGGAAACAGGCTGGGGCCTGTAGGCCCTGTCAGAAGGAAGCTTCCAGGCAAGAGCCTGGAAGTTTCCCTGTAGGGAAACAGGCTGGGGCCTGTAGGCCTTGTCAGAAGGAAGCTTCCAGGCAAGAGCCTGGAAGTTTCCCTGTAGGGAAATAGGTTGGGGCCTATACAGCATGTAACACTACGTGAGGAGATCGAGGATTTGCAAGAGCTGCGAAGATGTGACAAGACCGAGGTGGACATGTTGAAGGAAAGGAGGGCACTGGCTGAAGCAAGAAGAGCGGACGCTGAAGCAGAGATCGTGCGACTGAGAGAAAAAATGAAGCTGCTATCTACTGAAGAAGTTGGTTGTGGCACACCCAAGGAGCATGGGACGAATCCGAAGGACAAAATGGAGGAGGCTGCTAAGACAGGTTTCAAAACGGGAAGAAAGGGAAGAGTGAAGATGACGCCTGGTAGGCTGCCTCGACCCGATGGAATTTTCAAAATTGTCAACGATAAGTTTGTTTTTCTTCAAGATGAAAGGAAGCGATTGAAGGCCCTCAAGAAGACTGGTTTGGAATTGTTGTGCCAAGAGGAACGTATTAAGTACAAGACCATTGACGTTACTGTTGAGGAATTGGCGCAACTGTATGCAGAAAGGGCATTTGGTGGAAGCAGTGAAACCGGTGAAAGGATTAATTCTGAACAACGTCCAGGTAAGGCTATTTCGAATGATAGCGATGTCGCTGTGGTGGAAGAAGTCCCGTCAGACTCGGCTTGATGGGACTCCCAAAACGTGAGCGTACTATGGGAATTTGCCAAAGATTGTCGTGCTTTCTGGTCTTCGTCTGTCTCTTCTCTCAGGAGTACTGCATGGAATGCTTTCTTCCAAACTGTAGTTCTCTGCTTGATTCTTGGAGGCCTTGTTCCTTGGGCTCAGAATTTTCGATCATACTTACTGTCTATGGTGGAGAATGGGGGGGATCTATTTCGTTGCAAAGGCCCACTAGTCTATGTTCTTCTTTCTCCCTGGCATAAACACGTCTATGTGGGTTTGACAGGTCGATCCTTGGATGTTCGATGGGGTGAGCACGAGGAGATAGGAATCATAAACTTTATAACTGGTTAAGACGATGTGGTCCTGAACACTATGTCGCACTACCTCTTTTTAGATGCGATGAGGATGACCGATTACAATTGGAGAAGTTTGTGATACGGCGGACTAACCCCTTCTGAACAGTTGTGAGAAGGTGAGGAAAACAAATAAGTGCAGACCTGGCAAGCGGGAGCGTGACAAGAGGAGAAAAGTATGGCTGTGCCGCCTTGAAAAAAAGTCGTGGGTGGCTGGCACATGGAACCACTTTGTTCTTTGAGTCCATCTCCTATTTTTGTTCCTCGTCGCTCTACCTGAGAGGGGCGTGAGTTCTTTTCATCTCAAGAGCCCGGCCACTCAGGTAAGTGTCGTGCCACCAGGGTGCCCATGTGTGTGTGCATGGAATTGACTGCCTGTTGGGGTTCTCTGGGTTCTTCTTCCATCCTCCATAGTCTTGATTGTGTGTGAGGTGTGTGAACTGCCTACTCACTTGATGAGTGAATGAATGAAGTATCTTGTTTGTCATGTGATATCTCTCTACACTGCTTTGTTTGTTTCATTCTGAACGGCGGTAGTCTACAGGTTCTTTCTGGGGCAAAATTTCGTTTTTCAATTCAAGTAGGGACAGAGTAGGTCTCCGTGGAACTCTTGTTGGTTGGGACCCGGTTCTGACTCCACTGGGACCATTTGGGACTCAGTGGGACCGGGCCCAAACAAGAAGGGCCCCTCAGGCCAAACCTGTTGACGTCAGTTACCTTGCTCTATCTGATTGGGATACGGACTTTATGCTTTCGGACCAGGACACTCGCTGCGGAGGGGATCTCTGCTGGGACGTTTTATCAGACTTTACAGCGCAATCCGCCGCTTGACTCGCACCTTATACACCACTCAATTCTCTCTTGCATTTCGCTGTACATCTTGAATCTGATTTGTTGTGTCTTCACGGAGCTGAGGCTGGCTAGGCTTGGGAGGACCCCATACGTAGTCAGCCCAGACTGTGTGGCTGGATCAGATCTCTCTGATCTTTTCTTTTTTTGTTGTTTTGACTGCTCTCCAGTCCAAATGAATTGCCGCTCCGGCTAGGAGTTCTACCTTCTCTTCTGACTGATCTCAAGTTGTTCCTTCTATTGGGTTCATTAATGCCTGCGTCTACACGGTCGCAAACGAGAGAGAGAGAGAGAAGAGAGAAGTTATTGAGTGTTGCTCTTGAGGGAGTGAGGAGAGGGAAGAGGAGTGTTCGTCGCGAAGCTGAGAGGAAGTACGGACCCCTCTTGAGAATCTTACTGACACCCTCATCCTCCATCATGGCATCTGCAGCAGATTGGAAACTGCAGATGGACACTGCCCCTGAGGTAGAAAAAACGCAGTATCAGTTCTTCTACGAGAAAGCCTTGAAGAGGGAGGAGGAAGAGAAAGAGAGAGARAGAAGGGATAAGGTGCAGGCTCATGAGGCCGTTCTTAGCACCGTGTCCGCTCTGACTGATGAGGAGGTAGAAGAGAAAACGGTTCCCCTCCTCAGAGCCTTAGCAGGGGTCCGGGTTGCTGAGGACCATACTGGCCAACTCGCACAGGTGTTCAAGCAACTCAAGGAGTTGCGCGAAGACATGGCCAAGATGGCGCAGCAGCACCGCGATCAGCTGCAATAGTTTGCTAGTTCGCAACGGGCTCAAATCGTCTCTTCACTCATCTACCCTGCCTCCAATGCTGCGTGTCAGTCCAGTTTTGCCCCTCTGAATACGTCTATTTCTTCTCCTTCTACTTCTTCTTCTTCTTTGAGTGTGGTTAACAGCCAAAGCGGATCTGCAGCAAGTCCAGACCCCGCTGCTGCTGCTGCTGCTGCTGCTGCAGCGGCAAGTGGTGGTGCAGGGACTTCTGGAACTGTTGCGGCCCCGGGCCCGGACCCAGTAATGGCTGGGCCGGGCAGCAGCTTTGCTTACCTCGACAGGAAGGTGGCACAGATTCCGTCCAAGTACGAAGGAAAAGACAACGTCGAGTCATGGATCAGCACCATGCGGTCCTACTTTGATGTGTTGGGGACACCCCCAGTCACTCAGTCGTCGGTCCTTGGGACCAATGTGGAACCCGCCGTGAGAGGATTTCTAGAAATCCAAGCTGTACAAGCAGGCTATAAACGTATAGACCTGAACAAATGGCTGAAGGCTACGCCTGTAGCCACACTTGAGGATCTCTTGATTCAACAGTATGCCGATCCACATGCTGCAGCAAAAGCAAGACTTAAGCTTGATAAACTCAAGCACAGCAAGTGGACTGGCACCATGCAAAGTTTGCAGCAGTATGTCAGTAAGCTCTTTGCTACTCCCAATTTGAAAATGACTGCACCGTCTTGCTTGGATGTGATAAAAGCAACGGTCCCCTCTGCTGAAATTCGTCGCCTGGGCCTCAAACTCGCGGAATATACAGATTGGCTTTCCCTCATGCGGGATCTAGTCAAGTTGGTGGCACAAGACCTCCCGGGTGGATCGAGTGGCAAAAGAGCCCTTGGCCGCAAACGGTTTTCTGGCAGCAACCGTTTAGCAGCACACGATGTGCTAGAGGATGACGAGGAGATCCTCGCAGACAACCCTTCTCTTGATGACGATCAAGAGCAAGGCTGTGAGGCATCATGCTCTGCGTCAACCCACGAGTCTGAGTTGGTGAATGATGAGGAATCCATGAATGTCTTTAAGAAGACTGCCTTTAAAAGCAAGGGACCGAGGACCACAATGAAGAACAACACTAACACTATCCTTCTTCCCAAGGGAGCAAAGATTCCACCAAAACCGGAAGATCCTACCACAAAACCATGG